GAACGTTGGCATTACATAATTGCAAAAAAAAAAAAAAAAAAAAATAGAAATAATTCCATTCTTCCTCATTTTATTTATTCTTTTTTTTTTTTTTTCTAAAAATTTTAATAAAATCGTTGTATAAACCTGTACATAAGGCGGTGGACGTTAACTCCTTCAAACACTTAGTAACCAATGCAGTAATAAGAACAACATGATGTTCAGCCAAAGATGGTGTCACGATTTTCTCTAAGAATTTACTCTGATACTCTTCGCCAATGCGTCGGCTACATCCGGATGTGCTTCCCTTATCAACTGATTACAGTAATCAAACCACATGAAAAATGCAGCAACCTGCCTGCAACCAGAAAATTTCTTCTCCTTCGTCCATGCCGGCGAGTCTAAACCCCAAGTGACGTCCACGCCATCGATTTCTGTTGGGTCAACGTGCGCTGGAATTGCGTTGAACAGGTTCTCTAATCTACTCGGTATCAAGGTTGTTAAATGGCTGTTTGCTACCATTTGAGCGAACGATATATCCTCCAGGGATGAAAGTACCATTATTCCCTCGCAGGCTCTTATCCTCACTGTATTGTCCTGATGAGTGAATCGTTTATGTTTGAAAACTTTGTAGTTTGTTTAGTTTGAAACTGCATAATTAAAAGTAGGGATATTGAAATGATAAATTTATTTTCTATCAAATCATAATTTGATGTATAGGCATATATTGCAACATGTGCCACATAATCATTTGTAAAATCAAATATTTGAAATTTCTTATACAAAAAAAAAAAAATAAAACTTTTGAAGAATTTTGAAGATTGAAATATTTTTTGTATATGATCTTTCTATATATTTATCAAATTTTAATCTAAATTAATATTAGAATAACTTATTACTTACCGCAGTATTTATATAACTCAACAAGGCATCTAATAGAAGGCATTTTGATTTCTCTGGTGTTTTGGGTCTGAGCAAACTCTGATCTCCATCCAAGCAATGAGAGTCATCATAAGTATTCCCGTATTCACCGTCTAGTCGCAAATCTTGAAGAGCATTCTGTAAATGCGTGTCTATCTCGTTTATTAAAGCTACGTCTTCGTTTTTTTGCGAGACATCGTAATCTCGAGATTCAGAAGACTGCGTAACACCCGAATTTTCACCACAAATCTCTTTCTGAATTACCGGGCTCGAAGATTGCGAAGCAATCTCTGTTTCTCTAGAGGATATCGACCCATTCGATTGACTGGACGATCCCCTTGTCGTTCCAGCCTTGCTGTGTGGCCTATTAAACTCAATGGACCGTCTCTTGTCATTTTCCGAGTTGAACAAATTGGGATTTATCAGCGTGACCGCCTGAGTGTCTAACGGTTCGAACAGTGGATTGAAGTTATTATTCCTTCTTCTGGCCGGTATATAAGTAACCTTCTCCACTTCGATTCTCTCGATATTCTTCTTCGTGGTGGTATTTTGCCTCTGAACATTCGGTGCATCGTTTATAATATTTGTCACGTGAGGATACTTGCAAACTAGAAAGCAAAGCGTGAGAAGGAACTGGACTTCTTCAACCTCGATAGGCGAAGGTGGGTTTCCATTGCAAAGAGCGATCAACCGCTGCACAGGTCCATAAATAGACGTGTGGTGCAGCAGAGGATACTTGGATCTTCCTAACAGCTTCCTTAAGAAGGACAGGCAAACTGTCCTCATCCCCGGTGGAGTTTCCGCGCTGGCCAATGTAGCCAACAGGTCCAACAATTTGTGCTGCAACAGGTACTCGAGACACGGTCCTGGCTCATTTTCGTTCCTTTCTTCCTCAAGTAGAATCTCCAATAATCTGTCCAAGTGTCGCGGTATGCCTGTCGTTTGTATGGGTACCTTGCAATCCGTCAAGTGGTTCACATAAAAATTCATAAGCTGTTTCCAGTGATAGGTGAAGTCTTGCAGCGGCGTGGCAGGCGGTGCTATCTGTGAAATAATAAAAATATCTATAAATATCGCGATACACAGGAGGAAAAATGCGGATGACAATCGAAACGAGGGATCGTATTACGTCATCCGAGTCGTGTTTGAAGAAAAATAAATAATGCGCGAAACACGGTAGATTATTAAATGTGAACATATTAGCGAGGCACGATCGACTGTCCGCAGATGTAACTTGAAATAATTATATAAGATGCTAAATATAACGCACATGTTAGAATCGTCGGACAATACGCGCCCCGATCGAAAAGAATAAGTTTCGCGTTCCCTGTTTGTTTGTATTTTTTCATCGGCGCCAAACGAGCGCCGTTTAAATCGACCTGTGCGCACACGCGGCCGACGGGAAGAAAAAATTCGCAGTAACGGATAGTGTCGTATTGACCACGGCTGATGGCCAAACGCACGGCATACAGATCGATATAGGTAGAACGTAAATAAATACAATGGCACGTGTGACGCTTGAAGAACGAAGAAAAATCGTCGTAAATGACGCGTAAAAAACATGTACTAGCACGATCAATGAATAGTGTTTTAAATATTTTCGCGTTACTTACTATGCTCTGTAAGGGGGACAAGGAAAAAAAACGTACATGTTTTTTTTGATCGAATAAATGGATAACATAGCACGCAGTCGCATAAGCGAGAATAAAGTCTACGATAAACAACGAAACTTATCAGGGTTATCACTCACCACGTCAATGGCATTCTTTAGCGCGATTTGAATGCCACTAATCATCTTAACTTAACGTCCGATCCTTGTCCACGATTATTTCTCGCTATGCACGCGCCTCGCGGCCGTTTCTTGCATGATCCTCGCCCTCTTCTGCATAATTTCGCATTGTACGCTTCGTATCACCGTACTTCTCTCTCACTGTCGCTGCGATAGCGAATTTTGCGGCTTTGACGTGTTTTGTTTCCGATTGCCGGCCACCAGGTGTCTCAAACGTATGACGTTATGACGTTAAATACGATAATTGAGAGAGGTGAAAGAAATGGAAATGGAAAATACAAAATTCGTTGTGTGCAATTCTATTTGTTATTGCTTTTAATGTAGTAAATTTATAAATTTTGATAAAAATTTTATATAAATTAAAGTCGAATTGTTCGTTGTAGAAATTTGGAATGAAAAAAGTAAAGAATGTCTGAAAGTAAATATTATTCGTAGCCCTCTATCGGAATATCCAGAAAGTTTCAATGCAGTATATTTCGATTAGACGTGTTCAAGGTTAAAAAATTAAACATATATATGTATATATATATATATATATTGAACTTATAAATTTGAATTGAATAACATGTAATTATTTGTTTTCGATTTTATTACGAATATTATTATTTTTTTCTAATTATAATGGTATATGGAGAGTTATATAAAAAAATTTATCATTTCTGCTTTATTTATAATATAAATTATTTATGTTTAAAATTGCAAATGATCGACTTCAAATAAATTATAGCATTATCTTTAGTATTTTTCCTTCACTTCTAATCAAAGTTGATCGATATGATGATTGATAAGGTTGACATATATCCGTCTAAATAATAAAATATTGAATTATTGAGAACATTTATTAATAATTTAGATATTCAACTATTCGATTAATACAAATTACAAATTATATCAATTAATAACAAAATTTGATGAATGAAAAAAATTTTTTAAATTATTTCACTCTCTAACATAAAATAAAATTTATTAATACAATTTTACTAATTCGTCGTATATCTTTGGCCTCGAATTTTTTTTTTTATCAATGTAAATATTCTATTAATAATTATCTTATCTTTATTGTACCTTCTTCCTCTTAAACGAAATTTCCTATTCTATTCCATTACCTATTGTTTTTGAAAAATTCCGTCTAATATACACTCAAAAGAAATAATATAAATATAAATCGTATTAAACATTTAAATTATATATTTATTAATATATATATATATATATATATATAATATTAATATTATTCGAATATATATTAATAATAAATATAATATTAATATATATTACAGAAATATTTCTAAAATCTCTCAAAATGTTCTCAATATCCAAACACTATGTGGCAATGGCACATCGATTGTGGAAAACGGGATTTATGATGAATTTTATTTTGCACCTTTAACGTGTACACATCTCAACAATATTAACCAGTTCGTGAATGTAAAAAAAAAAAAAAATTAGCGACGTTTCGAAAGCGGTTCAGGCTCCGCCGAAATTAATCAATCAATTTTTCTATTCACTATCACGATCAACCAATAACGTGTTTTGCACCAAATTTTTTTTCTAATCATCTCACCATTCAAACAATTCATCAAAAATATTTTAGAAACACGTTGTTTGATTCGATCTTGATCAAGTTATGCGGTCAGATCGCATCTCTCGGAATTGTTGATTTTTCTTACGCAATCGATATATTAATTCGATGCTCGAAAAAAATCTGTAGGAAAATCTGATTATGATTATCGTACGATTATCGTCATTTTTTTTTTCTTTTTAATTATATTAATTAAAACACTACAAACTCGATCATTTTGCACCGGTAATTAATGATTCGACACATTTACATTGGCTATTTTGATATCGATAAAAAAATAAGCGGATGAAGAAGACTAGAGTTTTTCTTTATTTATGACTTCGTTTTCGGGAAAATCGATATTTTTGAAAATTGTGTCGAGTATACGCATTCAAACAATTCTCATTTCACTATTTCACTCACAATTATTTATTTCTCTTTGATTAATTTTTCCCCTTAAATTTGATTGCAAGATCGAATTTAAAATTTTATTATATATTCCCTATAACTCCTTATGTAATATTATTATTGCACAACTTTTCTTCAAAATGAAAAAAAATCCTATTTTATATTTTGATTTTCTTCTTTTTTTTTTTTTGTTTTTTTACATAGAATATTTATTATCCCTCCTGGATAAACGTTCTAAACATATTCACTACTTTTTAAACATATCCCAATAATTTCTTACTCCTTACAATGGTTCATCATTCATTCGTATATCACATAGTCAATAATATAAACCTATCGAATCAGACATCGTCACCGGTGTGGAAACTGGAAACAACACTAATGATATTTGTCTTCACATTGCTTTTCAATCAATAAAATACGTGACGACGTGACGTATCGATATCATAAATGGCTACAATCGTCTAAATCGAAACTCACGTGGATCCGCGTGATCGCGTGCTAAATATACTAGCGTGGCTCTGTTACTCACCACTTTCAGCCTCCACAGTCGTCGCAGCATCGATAACGAGAGACCAGCAAGGGAACGTTCGATTCGACTCGACTCGAGGAGGGAATTCGACCGAGGAAGGAGAATCTTCGTTAGCGACAATTGAAATTCACTTCCCTTCTCTTTTCTTTTCTTTTTTTTTCTTTTCGATATCGCCAGAAAATCTTATCTTTTCGATGAGAATAAGTACAAATGTGTCTCTATGTTACGTCAACACGAACTCGATAACGTTCCTCCTCGTCCTGGCCAAACTTTTGACTAACAGCCACCGCGGTTTCGTAATTTGAGAATGCGATCTGAATGACAATCGAGGCGAGGCTCACGAGCTTTCGAGTCGCGCACGAGAGGGGCAAGAAGAGAACTTTGGAGTATAGATAGATGGAGATAGATGATTCTTTGTTTAATTTACATCTTGCCAGAATCGATTTTATTGTAAAGGAATGAACGGCCAAACTTTGCAGTTGCAGTTTATTATTTTTCTAAAATGGTGAAAGGAAATTTTGGGTAATTTTTTCTTTTTAATGAGAGAGATATAAAATCCCTTCTCATCGTTAAAAAAATTTAAGTATTTTCATGAGTGACACATAAGTGTTCTATCTTTTATTTTTATTATTTAAGTGTTCCTCTCTTTATGTTACTTTGTCTCCATCGATCTTTGAATCTCCAAAGGAATATTCATTTCCCTGACACGAAAGAATGGCGGAAACAGAGAGTTACGATTGAAATTGATTAATGTTGTCATTAATCACCTATTCATATACACACACACACACATACATGATTTCCATAATTTATTTTTTTAAAAATTTTGTTTCTCCTTTTTTGCACGTCATAATTTTAATTTAGTCGATGTATACTTAGTCTTCGAGGGATCGTTCTCGAGACAATGTTGTAAAATGTATATATTTGCCTCATCGTAATAATCAATAACAATAAAAGAACACGAACACGTTGAACGTGCACGACACCTCAGTAAACCTATAAATCTAAAAATATTTCAAACCGCCTAATCCCTTAAAACATTATTACACTGTCTAATAAACTGTTTGCACACATCCTCCAATATCTACTGTCTCTCGCTCTCTCTTCGTTATTTGTCTCTTATATAATCTCATTTATACAATATACTCTGACACTCATTTATACGTACTCTGATACTCTCTTATCCTCGTTCACTCGTTCTCAATTGCTCGGTTTGATCGATCAATCGTATATTTTGTAATATAATAAGATTATTCTATACGAATAAAACGACAATACAAATACTAATTTATAAATCGTGTTCTATGTTAATCAAGGATCCGTCCGTTTCTATTTATCCTCTTCTATGAAGAAGAAATGGCGAAACATAAGAGAATCAGCTCGTAGAACCATGTCTGTTTCTATTAAGAAGGAAGATCAATCGTTATCATCGCCAACATCCCATTGATATCACTACAATTCGATTGTTTGTCTCAAAGACAAACGGTTGAGTTTCCTTCAAATGTTTGCTTAGAGGCGCCATCTACATATCTGGCTGCACAGATTGCAATAATAAGACTTTTGTTACATTTCATTTTATTTATTCGTTTGTTTGTTGTGCAACCACGTTTGCTTTTAGACGAGAGCTTTTAATTATGAATTTTGTCTATTTTCTTTTCTTTTTTTTTTTTTTTTTTTTCCTTTTTATCTGGTAACACATAATTTGTCAATTCGTAAGTATTTAATTCAAGTACTGTTGCTTCCAAGTCTTCTTGTGTTAGGCTATGTTTTATCTTCTCTCTCTCTCTCTCTCTTTCTATCTTTCGCTCTTTCACTCGCTCACGCATGCGCATACAGATACACTCTTTCGCATTCCTCGTTTCATTCGTTCCTAACAGACAGAATTTCACTCGTTCGTCTATTTGCCTATCTTTTTCTTTAGTTTAATAGTAGCTAGTTTTCTTTGACTTCTTCTTCGGCACATACGCATGACTTCATATATATATTTTTTTTTTTTTGTGTACGTTATTATATTAATGGTGTGTCAAATTTGTATTGTTACTGCATATAACTTAATTTAATCTAAACTAAGGAGATGTGGCACAACCGTTGTCTTCACCGATTCCCAGCGGCCACTGCGGCGACCAGCGCCGCTCCACGACCGCTACCATCCTCCGAGAGCATTAATTCGAACTGTAAAATAAAAGAAATATCATTGATACAAGTACAAATTGATAATGCAAAAAATTATTTCAATTATATTAAAAAAAAAAATTCAAAATAAATATGTTTAAATTAAATAAATCGAAATTTTAATTTAGAAATATTAAGGTTTTTAAAGAGTAATAAATAAATTCATTTTTCAAAGTCTTTTTAAAAAAGATATCGCCAAGAAACTTGATGAGTTTTTTTTTTTTTTTTTTATGCTATTCGATCTTACTCTAAATAAGGTTTAGATTGTTTATATCTTTTTTATACATCTCATACTTTATAAGATAGATTAAAATAAATATATATATTTTTCTAGTCAAATATTTTATTCGTAGGGAAAAAATATCAAAGACTTTGGAGTAAAGATTTATATATCAATATATTTCGCATAATGATAAGTGAGAAAAATATGCAGTAGTTTTTTTTAAATATCTCAATTTATATTTCAACAATTATTGAAAAAAATCACTTAATAATTTTGCTTCAAAAATGAAACAGAAATTTTAATTAATACTTTTTTATTCCTTCAGAACTTTGGAAGTTTAAAATAAGTTAAAATTTAATTTTCTTTCAGCTCGAACAATATTCGATATTTTATATTGATAAAATAATTGCATATATTATTTTCATATTTTCCTAATTAAATTAAATTATTAAAATATACAAATAAATCCTATATATTAAAACTGAAAATAGAGCAAGGGAAAATCTGAGAGAGAAAGAGAGAAAAATGTTTCTATTCTTCTTACCTTATGATTCTGTAATTGGCTTATCTTCTCGGTCATAAGATCGTGAAAGTGTGGATGATATCTATATACCGAGCCATCAATTCCAACGACGACATTTTCTTCGCCCATTTTATTCAACAATGTGGCGATTCCAGCGCTGGCCAAGTGAGCTGCTCTCCTTGATACAACAGAGCAAATGTACTTAACGTTCTCGCAGTCTTGATCAGTGACATTTCGCAATCCCAATTCTGCCAATACTTCGCGACAATTTGTATATTTCCCATTAGGATCGCTGCAACGAAAAAGAAGGATTAAATTCGTAATTTATAAAACGAAACATTCTTAAATTATTCCCAAGTGTTTATAAAAAATTTTAATTAAAATTTCTATTTCTCATTTTTATATTTGTATATTTCATTTTTTAATTACTTATGGATTGAAAAAACAAAAACGTAGAAACGAATATCCTTACTTGTGACATATCTAACATTTGCCTTTCATTTGAGGTTTTGAAAAAAATTGCTTACAAATCATATTATAATAACTTGAAATAATATAATTTCTGTCTCAAAGTAATGCTTCTTTGTACTGTGTAAAATTAATTTTGAACGATAAAAAGAAATTCAGATTTCGGAATAGATCAAAGAAAATTTTGTAAAATTGATTTTACGTGACGTGAAGAAATTTATAATATAATAAACAATAAAAACAACAATAAATATTTCAAAATATAAAATATATTTTTTGCATATTAATTTATATAGAATATACATCTCTAACGTAACTAAATTATTGAAAAATTAGTTTTTTCAATACTAGAAAATGATCGCAAATAATTTCGATATTTCTCATTTCGTCCTTATTTATATACAAATTTCAGGTTTAAAATTTAATCATTCTCGATACTCACTTTTCAATTTCTGAAACGTATTTCGCGTAGAATCTTCCACGTTTTTTGAGCTCGTTGATAGGCTTTCCGGTAAACAATAGTCCAGCGTTTATCGCTTTCTCAATGAGCAACCTTACCAATTCTCCCATATACATGCCCGAGATCATCTTCTCGAACACTTGTTTCTCAGGATTAATCGAATTCTGGTCGACATCACGATCGATGTCTGTTGCAATAAAATCAAGGAGTGTACCTTCACCGAAGGCACCCCACTCGATATTGATCAGCATTTTAGGTTTTCCTGGTAACACGTTTTCTGGATACACGGTTTCTATGTTCTCTATCTTTTCCACATAGCAGGCGTTGGTACCAGTTCCTGATTTAAAAAAAAAAAAAATAATAATAAGTATTAGAAATCTTGGAAGATACTTGTTTGTTAATATCATAAAGTTTGATAAAGTTTTTTCCCTTTAATTCTTAAACTAGCTATAATAATATTAAATGCAATTAAATTAACTTTCTGATGGAATATTTAGATGGACAAATAAAAAACGAACATTTAGATATTCCATTACTATATAAACTTGCATGCAATGAATTTATTAAATTAACAAAGTAACAAAGTAACAAAGTAACAGAAGTAATAAATAATATATATATTTTTTTTTAAAAAGACTTTTTATTTTCTTTCCTTTAGAAAATAAATATTTCATGAAATTATGAAAAATAAATAATTTATGAATATTGTATATTTTAATTGGATAGAAAAAAACATTAAAATTGTATGAAAAAATTCACATTAGAAAGTTCGTTTCACATTGAATTATCAGATCAAGATCAATCACAAGATGTTATTTTTACAATATTCGATTGATTCATTATCAAAATGATAACACTTAAATTCTTTTTTGCGTGAATATTCGAAATATGCGTAGAAATAAAAATTAGAAGAACAAAATTTTTGAAAAAAATTTATCAAAAGAAATGTTATGAAAATTCTCTTTCGAAAATTTTAAAAAGATGTGTATTATTATAGTAGAGAAAGAAATCAAAATTCAATCATTTTTTTTTTATTCACGTACCGACAATTAATCCAATACGGCAATTCTTGTTTTTCCAAGCGCATGACATCAAAGTGCCGGTAGTGTCATTCAAAATGGCGCATATCTGGATTTTCACATCCTGTACAATAAATCATAGTTAATATTTTCAAATTAGCTGCACACACACAGATATATATATATAACAATCGTTCTTATCATTGTTTTCGAATCTCATTATTCATTAACGCTGTTACTAAACTGTTGATTAATTTAGAAAATTCATGATATTTCTATTTTAATTTTTTTTTTTTTTAATAAAATATATGATCCTATCGGTCGCGCAATTTAGGATTAACTTTTTTATTAATACACTTTTTAACTTTATATACATGTGAAAATTAATTGAAATCATTAAATTATTCCAATTTCCATAAATTTTTATTTTAAATTGCATGATTTTCAATATAAGATAAAGAAAATAAGATATCCTTCAATTTTTTTTATTTTAAAAGATAATTTACTACAATATTGATATTTCAATTAGTCCAAAGCTCTACAAAATAAATGAGATAAAGAAAGAAAAAAAGAATAATCAAAATATCAAAATAACTTTCCAAAAAAAAAAAAAAAATGTCCTAAGTATTCAAATAAAATTCCATATAATCATCATGAAATCTTTCAGTCCAAAGAATTACAATTTTGTGATCGGTCATTTATTTGATTGTTAATGATCAGATCAGTTAATGTGATCATAACCAGTGATTCCATTAGTCAGCAGTTGGTTGATAATTTAATAGTCAATTAATGAACAATCAATGATCACTTATAATAGTAAGTCAATTGTTAGACAATGATCAATTAATGGGCAATCTATAATCAGTCAGTCGATTGGTAAATTAATTTAGTTGATGGTAAATGTTTAGATAAAAGGGGAGCTTATAAAAAGTCATTGCACTGATCTCTGATTGAATCAAGTACAGGAATACTATACTTACACCTCTTTTCTTAATCGCCTTCTCAAGTAATTCAACTACATCTTCACCTATTACATCATCACAACTGAATCCCTTCGTCCACCTGACCAAATAGCCTTTGGTTAGCCCATGCTGATCCAATGGGAAGCTAAAAGTAAACCCAAGAGGTAGAACTTCATGCTGAAGATTCAAGTCCTTGATGAACATAGCCAAACATTGAGCTATGTGGTCGAAGAGTTGTCCACCGGTTCCCACCATTAAACTTTGCGGTATAACATAAATTTTACTCTTCATGTCGAAACTCTGATTATCCAGAGTGATCAACAGCACTCTGAAATTCGTTCCTCCAAGATCCAGGGCCAAAAAGTTACCCTTCTCTGTAAACCGACAACGAATAATCAATTTTATATCAGGGAGAGAAAGAATAATGAAGATTATATATTATTGTTCAAATTATGGAGAAAGATGGTATGAAAAAAAGAATAGCAAAATTCAATATTTTGTCATTAAATTTAAAAAAGATTAAGATACTTTTATCAAGATTGGGTATTCATATCCAAATAAATTATTTGAAAAATAATAATTATATATTATTATTTGACTAATTTGGTTATTTAAAATTATCATGTGTTGGATTAGTTTGAATGAATAAATGATTTTTCTTAAGATTATTTCGTTATTATACATTTCAAGTAGGATAATTTTTTATGTTACTTTTTTTTTTATATATATTTATTTAAATAATTTCTCAAGTATGTACTTTCTAATTTTAATATATGAACATTTGTTAATAAAAAATATTATATATGTTAATAAAAATTACTGATTCGGTCTAGTCTACTATTCATTTTAAATAAATAAATTAATAATGTTAAAAGAAAGAAATTATTTAAAAAAAAAATTTAACAAAAAGTTGGCAATTTCAATGAAAATTAAAATTTCTGAAACGTTAAATGAAAATAATATTTATAACACAATACAATCAACAAACATGTAAAAATGTCATTTATAACAAACTCCCGTTTATGTTATAATATCTATAACATAATATACATAAATCAATATCTCGAAAGCAATTTTAATTGAATAAATAACTCAATAAAAAGTTAGTAACTTTAAAAAAAAAGTAAAATTGAACAATATCCTCTATAAAAGTTATAAATCAACAAGAATCATAATTCAATACAATCAATAATTGAAAAATAACTCTTATCACTTTAATAGAACTAAAATGAAAAACTGTATATATTGTATT